TGCTGCCGGCCAGCCCCACTGCAGCCTACGCCATCACTGGCGACTCACGGCAGCCCCGCTCCAGGTCGAGCTGTTGTTCACCATCTTAGCCATAGAGGGCGCAGCATCACTGGCCCTCATGTGGGATCCGAACCGGGGCCCTGCTGCTCAGAGCTGGCGTCTCAAGCCAACTCCTAACCAACGCGCCACTCAGCTGGCCCTGTCCTGGACCTTTTTTATCCAGCCAAACCAAAGTCCTGATATTGGCAATGCTTTTATGTTTTATCTAGCAGTTTTAGTTGTTTTTGGCAGGAAGATTTGTCTGAATAATTTAGCCCACAGTTACCAGGATGCCAAAGATTCTTTATCCCATGTCTCCCCTTAGCTGTCCCCTGTGTTTGAGGAGCTGAGCCCTTCCCTGGAAGCTGTGCTGGCCCAGGGTCACCCAGGGGTAGTCATTGCCCTGGTGGGGGCCTGTCGCAGAGTTGGGACTCACCAAGCCCAGGTCCTGCAGCTGTTGTTAGAGGTGAGTGGGTATTATCTGCAACTCATTTATGCCCTCTGTTCAAATTCTACCTCTTAAGACTTAACACATATTTAGTTTTGTATCTCTGGCCCCAAGAGGTTTAATGCTCAGGGAAGTTCACAGATAACAGGGGAAAATGAGGCCAAAGTCATCTCATAGCCTCGGGATGAAAACTATCTCCCAGAACGAAGAGAGAAATTTAAGAAATATTTATTTGACTCCTGTTACATATGTAGAGGTTGGGATACAGCGGGGCAGGTGAGATTCTGTCTACATGTAGCTCACATTCTCGTGGAGTTAGACATTCTCACTGCTCCTGAATGCTTTCCCTTGTCTAGAAAATTGGGGTTAAAGATGAGGTAGTTCTCAGATTCATTATGTTTTATTTTCCTGTCTAGGCATTCCACTGTGCAGAGCCCTCTTCCCGGCAAGTGGCCTGTGCACCTCTCTTTGCCACTTTGATGACTTACGAGGTGTACTATGGACTGGTGGAGGAGGAGGGAACAGTGCCTACAGAGCACCAGGTGAGGTAGGGGAGAGGCCAAGCCAGTGACTGATTGGGGACCAGGTCTCCCAGGGCTTAGGAAGTCTGTCATCACTGAAGTGAGGGTGGTGAGATCTCTAGCTTCGTTCAAGTGGAAGTGGCATTTTGGTGGCCGCCTCTTAATTTCCTTTGTCCTCCCAGGTTGAAATGGCCACAACCAGGGCCCTAGGGGAGGTGTCAGTCCTTGGGTCTCTACTGCTCCAGCATCTGTTACGCTTCTCCACTCCTGGCCTTATACTTCGAAGCCTGGGTTCCTTGACAGGAGCACAACTTCTGACACTGGCCCAAAGCCCTGCTGGATCCCATGTGCTCGATGCTGTCCTGACCAGCCCCTCTGTGACGCGCAAGCAGCGCCGCCGTTTGCTGAAGACCCTAAAGGTTAGACTTCTGGCTTCTGCTTTGACTCCTCTGCCATTATCCATTTAGAGAACACCAGCTTCTCCCAGGACTGTTCTTCAGAGTCAGAGAGAGGGTATGTAGTTCCCAGGCTCTTTCAACGTAGCCTCTGAACTTCTGAAACTTGACTCCCCCCGTTCTCCCCAACACATTTTTATGAACTGCCCCAGAGGGACCTACCTTGCTTGTCTCAATGCAGGGACAATATGTGGCTCTGGCATGCAGTCGCCATGGCAGCCGTGTGCTAGATGCCATCTGGGGTGGAGCAGCCTTGGGGGCCCGGAAGGAAATTGCTGCTGAGCTGGGTGAGTACCAGCATGTTGGCCTTTCTAGACTTTCCCTTCCCTCACTCCAAATAGCTGGGTGGCTGGGGAGTGGATTTAAATTCTGCAGAGACTTCAGTTCCTAAGGGTGGTCTTGGCCGTGGTACTTAGCAGGCTGCCCTCCCCTTCCCTTCTGCTGCTTGTGCAGCCCTGTGCTCCCACCCCTCCTCCCAGCTTGTGTTCTTTGGAGAGTGAGGGGTTAACTCTATCCTGAGGCAGGCCCAGGGTCCAGGGAAAATGGGGAGACCTTCACCCCAAGTAGAGTCTCTTGGAGTGTGGGTGAATGACTGCATGCTGATACTGAACATGAATGGTTCCCTTTGCAGGGGAGCGGAACCAAGAGCTGATAAAAGATCCTTTTGGCCACCATGTGGCTCGAAACGTGGCCCTGACTACCTTCCTGAAGCGGCGTGAGGCTTGGGAACAGCAACAGGGGGCGGTGGCCAAGCGGAGGCGGGTTTTGAATTCAATACTTGAAGACTGAGGTCTTGGGATCTGGGACTGGGTGTTGATGGGGGAGGGGGAAGGGGCGTGTCTGTCCTGTCCCCTTCCCAGTTTAAATTGGAGTCCAAGTCTTATTGGTAAACATTTTTATATTTTTATTGGAAATGTCTTTGTTATTCTTGGGGGCAAGGGTATGAAGACATCGAGATCTTAAGGTAAAGACCAAGAGGGCCAACTTCAGTGCACTGGGAGCTCGGGATCGGGAAGAATTGTAAGGACATCTAGATGTAGCGGCAATCAGGGTGGGATCAAGATGCCTGGGACAGGCGTGTGGCCTTTCAGGGTAGGTGGGAGGCTGGAAAGATGGTTAGGAGGGGACAGCATTCTTCAGGAATGGGTATAGGCTAGGGGTATAAGGCATTAGCTGATGAGGTTAGAGGACAGTGGGGAAACCAGGTGAATTAATTATCTAGTGTACACTGTCTGCAGGTCCCCAAACCTGATGCTGTCACAGTCCTTACAGCCATCTCTTGGAATGAGTCTAGGGGCAGAAGCTCAGAGCTCTTCTCAGTAGGGATGAAGGCGACCCTGCTGCTTCCACTGCCCAGCGCCTTCCACCACATGGCGAAGGGTGGTGGAAATTCCTAGCAACATATGGCCCAGGCCTTGCAGCAGTGTGGAGGTCCATCGGAGGAACTCCCTGAAAGGCAGAGACAAGGCAGTCAGATGGCCGGGAGGAAGCCATAGAGCTGGTGGGTTCGGAACTCCCACCAGGGAGAGTTAATGGGGTAGGTGAGCGCAGAAGAAGGAATTATGGGATTGCAACTCTAGGGATGGGGAAGTAAAACATACTGGTCACTGACCTGAGTACTTTCTTTGGGCCGAGTCCTTGAATGTCACAACTCATGGAGTACAACCCGTAGAATGTGGCTTTGATGTTCAGGCTCCCAAAGAGGTCTCTAGGGTTTTGCTTGTACACGTCAAAGGTGATGCGGGCGATGTCCTTGCTGTGCTTGGGCTTCTCCCGGCCCAGGCCATATGACAGCACCCCACTCTGTAGGGTAGGGTACCCCCATAAGTGCGATGGAGCCTCACCTGCTGACACCCACCACCAATCCTCATCAGCCCTGGGACAGACCCACTGTTTGTCCACTGTGAGGTGTCCTTAACAACTCCTCACCTCCTCATCTCTGTTCCCAAGATCAGGGTTAGGCAAGAGAAGAGGCTTGGCAGAGATATCAAGGATTGGTGGCCAATTGCAGCCCCAGTATGGGCCTCTCACCCTGCTGGAACTCCAGCTCTGCCCGGACTCCAGCACCATCAGGCTCGTGTCATCCTCCAACAGCTGGAAGAAGTCCTCACTCTCCACGGCGGTCCCATCCTCCTCTAGCACCAGGGTCAGCACTCCACTTAGCATCAGGGTCTCCAGTGCCTGCCCGTTGGCAAGAAGCAGGAGGGAAATGGACGAGGTTGTCCCATGTCCCTTCCATCTCTAGCAGCCCAGCATCCATCGGTTGGTCCAAGACATTGGTTGCTATCCCAACTCTACTTCCCAGCTCTTTGCCATCCCTTAAAATAGCTCCAGCTCTCAGTGTTTAGTTGTTGGGGGACCCTCACTAGGGGCTGACCTGTTTTCCTATTTGCTCCTGCTTTGTCATCTCCCCCAGCTTCACTCCAAGCCACTCCTTCTGGGTTGGAATTGGAAAACTAGCCAGGTTCTCTTGAAGTCCATCCTTCCGGAATGGAGATAGGCTAGGGCTGTACGGCCTTATGCCGATGGGGCCTGAAATGATGGAATCTTATTTCCAGTGTCCCATTTCACTCTCCCCCACCCTCATAGAATGCTCCAAAACTGTTTTCAGTAATAATGACAACTGTTTTGAGTCTTCCTTAGTGCCAGGTATCTATGTAGCACTTTACGTACATTATCTTCTTTTACTCCTTTCAACAACCCTAGCAGGCGTATGATTATTCCCGTTTTATAGATGAAGAAATCGACGTTTGCTAGGTTAAAGAACTTCCCAAGGTTTGACACTAGGAAGTGGCAGAATCAGGATTTAACCTGATCTGTCACACAAATTGCCATTCCATACTGAGTTCTGAATTCTATCCCTGCAACCCTCATTAACTATTCCTTTCCCTATACCCAAAGAAAAGCCCACTCCTTGGGAAAAAAATAGACTGACCCAAACGCAGCAGAAGTCATTGGGCTCACACCCCTGCTTGTAGCCCTCAGGAGGGGCGGCCATGTAATCTCAGCCCTTTCTGCTGGTCAGTCCCAGTCCTCATTCTTGAGACCCTCGGCTGCCCCTGCGTTAGGAGCCCAGGGACTTGGCTCACTCACCTTGTCTAGCAGTTCCTGGCGGGTGGCAGCTGTCAGGCCTTTCCGGGTGGTCCGCTTGTGATCACAGACACGGAAAGGTCGCTGGGGTGGTGGCGCTGAGGTCCAGACCCTACGGCCAAGCTCAGAGCTCACATTGGATACTGACCTGGAAGTTGGAAAGAAAAGAAAGAGTGAGGGGTTTCCTGAGTGTAATGGGGATGATGAGGGTGGGGTGGCTAGAGTTAGTAGGGAGGAATCTAGGTGTTTAGAGTACCCTAGGGAGAGAGGGAGAGACCATGGGTATGGGGGGGTGGGCGGTCAGGAGCTGGACAAGCCCACTGTGGAAAGCGGGAATGGGAAGAGGGAAGGGTATGGGTTCATGAGTTTCCTAGGGGCTGAATGGAGCTGGAGAGTGAAGAGGAAGATTAGAAATCACCTGAGCAGACCGCTGGGGTTCAGGGCAGAGAGGTACTCCATGGTGGAGGGCCAGGGCAGGAGACTTCTAGGCTGGGTGCTTCTCAGCTGTGCTGGTCTGAAGTGGTGATGTTTTCTGTTACAGAACTGGGACCTCAGCCCAAGTGAGGTAGGGGATGAGTCAAGCCCGGACTCTGGCCCCCTGCCTGGCTTGTAAGAAGGGCAAAGTCCAAGGGGAGGGTGCAGGGGGAGGGGCCTAGATGGGGTCGTGGGGGAGGGATAAAGGCCCAGAGTTGTCCCACAAAAGCCAGGGACGTTTTGCATGGGCCTGTCTCTGCTGGCAGCATGTGATGTGAGGGTCAGTGAGAACTATGTAAGGGGATGGAATGTGGTCTCTGGTGCTTTTCTTTCTACGGAGGTAATTTCTAGGTATAGAAACTGCATTATGTGTTATTTGTGCTGCCACCTGCTGAAAAAGCCATAAACTGCAGCTTCAGGAAGAGGGAGGCGGAGCTCAGGATGGGATCATGGGTGGGGCTTGGAGAAATGGGAGGTGAGGTAGTGTGCTGGGTATGGTGTGAGAGGACGGGTCCTGATCCATGGATCACTAGCATCCTATCTGGAACTCTGGCGTTCTTGCTTTCCTGCTCTTTCCTTTGTGGCGCAGGGGAGCGGCTGGCTCAACATTTCTCTGGCTTCATTTAGCAGAACTGCCTGCTTCAGTCACACTGGATTCGTCATTTTCTCTCTTACCTTTCTCCTTTGGCCATTTAATGGGCGTGAAGGAGGGTGTGTGTGTGTCTGTGTGTGTGTGTGTGTGTGTGTGTGGTGTCCTTTGATGGCATCAGGACTTGAGCTTTTGCTGCCCTGTGTCCCACCTCTGATTTCAGCTGCAGGTATGATGGACAAGTTGTATGGAAGCTCAGACTCTCACTGACAGTGAACCCCTTACATGAGTGCAAGTCTCTCTGCTTTCCTGCCTAGAAGTCTTGTCTGAAGCCATGGCAGTCCAGTCAGCTCCCTGACAAGTACAGGCTGCAAGTGTGTATAGGAGCCTTTAAGGCCTTACCTTTCTTTTTTATTTTTTTAAATTAAAGTTTATTGGGGTGACAATTGTTAGTAAAGTTACATAGATTGCAGGTGTACAATTCTGTAATACATCATCTATATATCACATTGTGTGTTCATCACTCAAAGTCAGTTCTCTTTCCATCACCATATATTGGATAATGCCTGATCTTTCTGGAAGGCATTCTGTGCACTTCCCAGAGGTTCCTGATGCCTACTGAAGGAGCTCAACAACACACTCTTATTGGCTTTCCTGTTCTCTGTCTCCTCCTGCTCTCACATCTGCTTCCTAAGCTGACCTCCCAAATACAGGATTACCTATACCCATGCCCTTAACTCAGACTCTGCTTTGGAGGGAACCCAAACTGAGACAATACTGGTGTCCTGGCTCCCCAACCTAGGTCCTTTCAAATCCTGTATCTCCCCTCTATCCTATATCCTCCTTAACCGCTATAACTCTACCGATGCCACTCTCATCCCCGGCCTGCTGGGCCTGGTGTGGCTATGCAGAACTCCGAACAACTGGCTCACTGACCAACATGACCCCCTGAGGCTCTCGCACAGTCCCACCTTGATAATTCCCTACACAGGGGAGACTGCCCTCTAGGCACCTTGGCCCCACAGGGCTGTATCATTCTAAACCTCACCCAGAGCCCACTCCCACACCGACAGAAGTGGGGCTTTAGACTTGTGATAGAAGGAGCAATTGCCACTGCTGTGGCTGCTGTCCCTTGGGGAGGTCTTACCTATCATGAACACACTCTATGGGAGCTCACCAAGTCCATAAAAGACACCTCCGGAGAAATGGCAGGTGCCCTGGCAGGGCTCTCCAGGTCGTTAGATTCCCTAGCCAATGTTGGCTTTGACAACTGCCTTGCTTTAGACTACCGCCTGGCCGACCAAGGGGGTGTTTTCACGGTCATTAATAAGACCTGCTTTACCTATATTAATAATTCAGGACAAGTTGAAACCAATATCAAAAAGATTTATGAACAGGCTAAATGGCTGCATAAATATCAAGGTGTGACTGGCTCCTTGACCTCCTGGCTCCCGAGCCTCTCTTGGTTACTCCCACTCCTAGGCCCCTTGATAGCCTTCTTGCTCCTTACTTTTTGGCCCCTTCTTGCTCCATCTGCTCAATAACTTTATACAGAAAACCATAGCCTAAGTTACCAGCAGGCAAATAGCTCTCACCATGCTCTTACAAGAACACCGCTACAGCCCCCTCACCTAAAACTCTAATTAGGGACCCTGATCGATGGCCCCGCTCAGCAGGAAGCAGCTACAGAAGACTGACCACTACCCCTTTTCCTAAGTATAGTTACCAAACCCAAAGGGGGAATTTGTTCGGCCAGGAGCAGAAACCGCCTTAGGCCTAGAGAAACTGCAGGGAATGTGCTTAATAGAAACCATCTTATCTTAGAAGCCATCTTGTCTTGTTCCTTGCTTGCTTGTACCTGCTGGCTTGTATTTTTCTCACAGGAGCCCAGGATCAATGGACCTGAACATTCCCTGTCAATGGCATGGGAACCAGGACATGGAACAAGAGGACATGGCCACACCCCGAAACGCTGTTACGATAAACAATGCAACGAAAAGCCCCTGAAGCGTTGGAGAGGAACAGCCTTGTTTACCTCCCCTATAAAACTCCATACCCCTCTTACTCGGGGAGGTGATGGTCTTTTCTAACCTGACCTCCCACAGCTCTTATATGCCAAATAAATTCCAATAGGCCAATTTTGGTCTCGCGCGACTCATTCCTCCAGCTGCACCTAACACCAAAGAGTCCTCAGTTCTGGCCATTGACTGGGCAGGAGCCTTTCTTCCCCTTCCCTCAACTTTATCAGTCTACCAGGTGCTCCTCAAATTTCTTCATTTCCAAGCTTTGCCTGACCGCTCCACCTAAAGAAGCCTTCTTTGCAGTATGACTCTACCACTGTACCCTTTCCTTTTTTTCTTGTCTTGTATCCTAGCGCAGCCCAGTAATGTGGTCTCTTCATGGTTGTGTTAACAACTCCTCAACCAGGTGATCTACCACTTACACATCCGTGCAGCCCTCATTCCCCGCAGAACTTAGCACCATGCTGTATACTGACAGCTGTCATAGGCAGCCCAGTGACAACCCTGAGGGTGGAATGACCGGGGCAGGCCCCAAGGCAAGAGGTGAGAAGGGTAGGTGGTCAGCTGAGGGAAAAGGAGGCTCAGCAGGGTCAGGAGTCTGGAAAAAGGCAAAGGTAGAGCTGCTGAGGGAGTGAGTATTTTGGGTCACCTTCTCCGCTGAGTGCAGGCCAGGGAGGCCAGAGAGCATAAGGGCTGCAGGGTTGGGAGGGTTGGGACCAGAGCTGGGGGTGGGATGAGTGCAGAAGCAGGACCCAGTGTCCCTACTCACTCACCATCATGTCCAGGGAGCTTTATCTGTATGCCTTCAGCTTATCCTGTTTCCTGGTGAGGCAGGACCTCACAGGCCTGGACCTGTTAGTGATGGGAGGGAATAGGGTGAGGGAGGGGCCCCAGGAAAGGCCCCACCTTTCCATCCACATTTTCGCCTCACTCTCTGCAAACCTAAAAGGCACAGGACAGGAGTAGGCAACTCGCCCACCGCTGCTTTACCTTTCACCTTCGCCAGGCCCCTCATGGGAGCCCTCACCCCGCCGACTCCCGGCTGGGTAAGTAGATCTGCCCTACACCTTACTCCCCACCAATCACTTTTGCCCTGAGGTGGACCAAGAAGGAGCGCCAGGCTCAAGGGGTGAAGGTGGAGGTGGTGACAGCCTGGGAGTCAGGACTGGGGAGGTGAGCTGACTGAGAAAAGGGGATTTGGGTTCCAGGAAGAGGTAGTGTTTGCGTTGGGGCTGGGGTCCTGGAGGAAGCCAAGGCTCCCAGACAGAAAAGAGTCAGGAATCAGGGCAGTGGGGAGAGGCACTGTCCATTCTCACCTAGCCTCAGGGGTAAGGTGGGCTTTCGTCCCACCCCTCAATGCCCACTATGGCCCTTTACAGCCCCCTATAGGCGCAGAAGGATGTGGGACTGTTACCGTCCCCCGGGAAATGAGACGCTGCTGAGCTGGAATGCCTCTCGGACCACAGGCACCGCCTTCCTACTACTGGCGGCACTGCTGGGGCTGCCCGGCAATGGCTTCGTAGTGTGGAGCTTGGCGGGCTGGCGGCCTGTCCGGGGGCGACCGCTGGCGGCCACACTCGTGCTGCACCTGGCGCTGGCCGACGGCGCGGTGCTGCTGCTCACGCCGGTCTTCGTGGCCTTCCTGGTGGGCAGGGAGTGGCCGCTGGGCTCGGCGGGCTGCAAGGCGGTGTACTACGTGTGCGCGCTCAGCATGTATGCCAGCGTTCTTCTCACCAGCCTGCTCAGCCTGCAGCGCTGCCTCGCCGTCACCCGCCCCTTCCTGGCGCCTCGGCTGCGTAGCCCGGTCGTGGTCCGCCGCCTGCTGCTTGCTGTCTGGCTGGCCGCTCTGTTGCTTGCCCTCCCGGCCGCCATTTACCGCCACCTCTGGAAGGACAACGTGTGCCAGCTGTGCCACCCGTCGCCGGCCCAGGCCGCCGCCCACCTGAGCCTGGAGACTCTGACTGCCTTTGTGCTGCCCTTCGGGCTGGTGCTCGGCTGCTACAGCGTGACGCTGGCACGGCTGCGGGGCGCCCGTTGGGGCTCCGGGAGACACGGCACGCGGGTGGGCCGGCTGGTGAGCGCCATCGTGCTCGCCTTCGGCTTGCTCTGGGCCCCGTACCACGCGGTCAACATTGTGCAGGCGGTGGCCGCGCTGGCTCCACCCGAAGGGGCCCTGGCGAAGTTGGGCGGTGCGGGCCAGGCGGCGCGAGCTGGAACTACAGCGTTGGCCTTCTTCAGCTCCAGCGTCAACCCGGTGCTCTACCTCTTCACTGCAGGGGATCTGCTGCCCCGTGCAGGCCCCCGCTTCCTCACGCGGCTCTTTGAGGGCTCAGGAGAGGCCCGAGGGGGTGGCCGCTCTAGGGAGGGGACTATGGAGCTCCGAGCTACCCCTCGGCTCAAAGTGGTGGGGCAGGGCCCATGCAATGGAGACCCCGGGGGCGGGGCAGCGAGGGACAGTCAGGAATGGGACCCTTGACACCAAACCCTACAACCAGGTCCGCTCTTTCCTATCCCCTTCCATTGCCCCCTAGAACTCAGGGAAGCACTCTGGAGCATTTGGGGATCCTGTTCTGATCACAGTTTGGATCTGTTCTGGCAGAGTTATTATACACCTGGGGCAGGCCCAGGTTCCTCCAAGCTGAGGGATTTTAAGGGGTGATGGTCTATATTAATGAATACTGTGCATTTGCAGGTTGGCCTGTGCCCATGTGCCAGAGCTGCTTACCTGTTGCCAATAGCTATTGTGAAAGACTTTGGGCAGCTATTGCACCATGGCTTAAGGGTGCTCCCTTTGGTAGTTAGCATGCCCGAGTTGTACTGAAGCCACATGGTTTCCATGCTGGGTCAGGCCAAGGCTGGGCAGTGCCAGCCTTCAGTGGCATCTTGACCTGTCCTTCCCACTTCAGGTGGCCTGGTTCCCTCACGCCAACCTATATAACCATTCTGTAAATAAAGGGAGATAGAAGAAGGAAAGGTATGGGCTCTTGGATGTGGGGTGGGGATGGAATCTATTCTCTGGGGTCTGTAAGAGCCAACTGGTGGAAAAACTGGCCCTAGAAGGTGAAAGTCAATCTGTGGGGTTTGAAAGGAAAGCTTTCCTGCCTGTCTTGTGGTTGACACAGTGGAGGAGGGGCCCCGGGAGCCTGAGATTTATCTTCCTCTCTGAATCCAACTCTCCCTGCAAAAAGGGACCCAGGGGCAGGTACTTGTTCACCCAGGGGACACTTGGGGGTTGGAGATGAGGGGATATGAGCAATGGTGTGGATATTTGGAGGACAGGAAGAATTTGTCAGGGTGGTGCCACCTTTCCTTTCTCCTTTTTCTCTAAGTCTTGAATCCTCCCAAGACTGCTAGCTGTTCCTCACCCTCCCTCGCCAATACTTCCCAGCCTCCATTTTTTGGAATCTGTCTATTTCTAGGCCTCAAAACTGTTGTGGATCCTGACACTTTTGAGTTTGGGGATGTAGGATGGGATTCTTTTTGAGGGATGTCCACATGCACATACATATGAAAGGCTGGACAATTAAGTTCGCGAACTTAATTGTCTGGCCTTTTGTATGGTCACTAGGGTGACCAACTCATCCTAGTTTGCCCAGGACATTCCCAGTTTTAGCACTGGAAGTCTCTTGTCCCAGTCCCTTCGGTCCCTGGTAAATTTAGATGGTTGATTATCTGAGTTCTGCTCACCCTGACCATTACCCCAGATCTGCTTTAGTGACTGTTCACACCACCCAGGCAGAGCCCAAGAGACAGCAAAGGAAATTTAGTCCTCAGGGTCACACCAGGACCACAAACACTGGGGTTAGAGGTAGAGCTCTGGACTTGGGAGGCAGGTATGTTTAGAGTATGGTGTGGAAGAAGAAAGGCCATGGACAGAGGTGGATGTGGGAAGCCGCTTGGGAAAAGAAGCAAAGACAACGTAGTTTGTATCAGAAGGGGCCTCGGATTGACCCTGGAGCTCTGAGCCAGAAGCTTCTATTCTGAAACATCGACTGCAGAGGCTTCTTCCTGTCCTCATACTCTAGGGTAGATGGTCCCTAACTTCCTGTTACATATTCCCTGTCTCATACACCCTCTGTGGTCAGAAAGCCCTTCCTCAACCCTGCCTTCAGTTCTTGCTGTGGTTTTGGTGCATTTCTTTTCATCATATCCTCTGCCTGACATCTACTGGGTCAACTCTGTTCTGGCTTTTCTCAGAGCAGAGAAAGTGGGGGCAGTGCAAAGGGTAAGGGACTTCCGTGACCACCATTACACTCAGCATCTTTCCTGAAAGTGACAGAGCTGGAAAGGAAGCAGGAAGGCTCATGGTCAGATTGAAGGAAAGACGTTTCAGCTCTTAGCTTCTGTATGAGAGTTCAAGAAGAGGAGGAAGGAGAAGAGGGACACTTTGGGGGGTTCTTTCCCTTTCCACAATCTCCTCCTGGCAGGGCAGGCATGAGGCCTCACCGCCCCCACTCTCTCATGCTTTTCCCCTATGTTCAGCCTCTACTTCCTCTCTGTGTCTAAGGTGGGTCTAGACAGTCAGCTGTTGGAAGGTAGGAAAGAGAGGGTGCTGACCTCCTTGCTCAGTGCCCAGATCTTAAATCCAAACTCATGTGGCAGTGTAACCACATGGGCAAACACAAGGCAAGTGGTGGGGAGAAGGGGAAGAAATTGGCTTTCTGTGTGATACTAAGGAGACCCTTTGGACTTCGGCTTCTACCAAGAGAGGGGGGAACTGATTGACCTAGAATGGAACAAATCCTTTTAAATGAGAAGAGGGATGGGGGTGCTGGAAGAAAGCCCTCTTCCTCTAACTCCTCTCATGGCTTGAATCCAAGCCAAGGACAAGCTGACCTCTTTAAGTCATGAACCCAGAACCTAACCACAGCTCTAACCTACGCTTCCTACTAATGTAAAAAACTACTTGTTCACACAAAATATAAAGATACTTCTGTGCTCTCAATCTGAGCCCATTTCCCCTCTAGCTGCCCTCCCTCCTCCTTCTGTATGACACAATTTATTACTCTGTTCAATTCTCTAGTCTAGACCTGCATCTGAGGCCACACCCCAGCCTACTCACTCCCGCACCCCTCTTTTCTCTCTTGTTGCCCCTTCTTGAGCTCCTCTCATCTGGCCCCACCCCTGAGGGTCCTCCTTTCTGCTGGCCCCTTCTGGAACACAAAGACTGTCCACCCTCCTAGTGTAAGGAAGGAGTAGGAGTTTCAGCCCCACCCTCAGGAAGATGTGTCTTCCCCCTCCCCTGCTCCATGGTACTTCCTCTCTGGCTGACTTTTAGCTGACAGCACCCAGACCTGGGGCCAGACCCCTGGCACTGGGACAGATCTGGAGATAGGCTACACCACCCTGTTCTGACCCTGGGATTGGCACCAGCTTCCAACCAGTAACTGGCAGAGACTGTAAGTAAGGATCCTGGGAGTAGGGAAGGTGGTGGATGGGCCAGGGTGCAGTCGTGAGAGAAGGTGAATAGGAATTTCCAAAGAAAGCCTGACCAGTGGTAAAAGGACTGGGGAGGATTTGTTCTTCTCTCCTCTCCAAGAATTCCTCCCCTTCCCTGTTATTCCTGGTGGACGCTGGGCATCTCTGGGGAGAATGGGTAGGGGATTGGAGGATGTCAATGGGCCTGAGGGGGACTAAGTGCAGAGGACAGAGGCCTTTGAAGGGGTGCAGCATTGGTAAGGAAATCCCCCCAGATTGGTTCTGGGTTTGAAGGTGTCCTAAGAGAAGGAGACTGAAAGGGTCTGGAAATGCTACTGCTGCTGTTGCTATATATTTTGCAATTGGATCTGTTGGCAGGAAGGGGCCCCATGGCCCAGTTAGGAAATTAGTATTTCTAATTAGCTGGATCCCCTAAGATAGGTCAGTTGGCAGTGACGAGGTCACTGCAAAGGTGCTTCTGATGCTGCTGATCTTGGAGAAAGACTAGAGCACTCATGTTAGGTTCGTCCAGGGTGTCAGGAAACTCCTGGGTCCCCTACCCTCATGTGTGTGTCCACCTCACCCTCCAGGTCCTTGCAATGGACAGGAACATTACATCTTCTCCATCACCCTCCTCAGTAGGTGCCATGTTCATCTCTCTGCTGACTATCATCCTACTGTCAGTGGCTCTGGCTGTGGGGCTCCCTGGCAACAGCTTTGTGGTGTGGAGCATCCTGGTAAAGATGCGAAAGCGCTCTGTCACTGCCCTGCTGGTGCTGAATTTGGCCCTGGCCGACTTGATCGTATTGCTCACTGCCCCCTTTTTCCTCCACTCGGTGGCCGGAGGTACCTGGATTTTTGGAGTGGCTGGCTGCCGCTTCTTCCACTATGTTTGCGGAGTCAGCATGTATGCCAGTGTCCTGCTAATCACGATCATGAGTCTGGACCGCTCGCTGGCCGTGGCCCGCCCCTTTGTGTCCCAGAAGCTGCGCACCAAGGCGATTGCCTGGAGGGTGCTGGCAGGCATCTGGGTGGTGTCAATTCTGCTGCCCACGCCCGTCATCGTGTACCGCACGGTGGAACCGAAAAACAGGACCCTGGCCTGCTTCCCGAAATACCCCAGTGAAAAACACAGGGCCTTCCATCTGCTGTTCGAGGCCCTCACCGGCTTCCTGCTGCCCTTCCTGGTCGTGGTGGCCAGCTACTCCGACATCGGGCGCAGGCTGCAGGCTCGGCGCTTCCACCGCAGCCGCCGCACTGGCCGCCTGGTGGCGCTCATCATCCTGTCCTTCGCTGCTTTCTGGCTGCCCTACCACGTGGTGAACCTGGCGGAGGCCTGCAGAGCGCTGACGGGCGGGGTCGCAGGGTTTGGGCCAGTGGGGCAGCGGCTGCGCCTGGCCCGCTACGTGTTCATCGCCCTGGCCTTCCTGAGCAGCAGCGTGAACCCCGTGTTGTACGCATGTGCCGGTGGCAGCCTGCTGCGCTCGGCCGGCGTGGGCTTCGTTGCCAAGCTGTTGGAGGCCACCGGCTCCGAGACCAGCAGCACCCGCCGCGGGGGCACTCTGGGCCAGACAGTGAAGGGCTCCCCTGCCTCTCCCGAGCCTGGACCCGCTGAAAGCCTCACTGTCTCCACCAACCCTCTGGAATAAAGCGAACTGAACCAGGTCTGGGGGTGGTGGTGGAAGGACGCTGGTTTTTCTCGTGGCAGAATGCCCCCATGCTGGCCTGACCCAATTCTGCACCTCAAGGAGAAGGTGCGTGGGGGTGGAGCGGAAAAAGAGGGAGGGGAGAGGCAAGTAAGGGCAGAGTCAGAGCCTGGCTCCCCTGGGCAGCTTCGCAATTAAAACTTAAGTCTGAAATTGGGTCAACTCTGTGTTTGGAAGGTGTGTATTATGGGGGTGCTCCTGGGTGCCTTTATGGGGGGTCCCTCTCGATAGTTAAGAGGCACATCCTTTAGTTTCTCATGATTTTCAATTTTGGAAGGGACACAAAGACGTAGAAATCAGACCTGCACCTCCCTCCCCCATTCTGAGGCAGGTGGCCTGCTGATCATACTTAGAACAACACAGGTCTGCAGATCCCTGAAGGAGCTGACCAAGGAAGAGCACCCACCTGGGCTAATCACTTCAGGTTCCCGGACTCAGTGGACTGTCTGAGAAAACTTAGCACTGCTGTGATATCTCTACCCTGAAACTAGTGATGGTTATCATTGTTAGCATGACTCCAGCTTCCTGCCAGTAACCATCCTCTCAGTGGGAGGTGTTTTAGGGGATTATCTTCCTTCCCCATTCTCGTCCATCTTGTAAGGAGGGAAGCCTCGCTCTTGAGAATCAAGTCAGCAGACTTCTCAGAATTCTTCACACCAGCAGCCTGCCAGCTCCCAAAACACTCTGGCACAGGGAGGGGCTGAGGGTCTTCTGTGACTGTGGTCATTCTTCAGAAATGAAGATTCCCCTGAATAAGAGGGTTGAGTCATTCTTTCCTAGGGATGGCTGTTGTCTTAGAGAGCCTCTGTTCTGACGTTTTAGGAAGATAACAGCACTGGCAGTGGAGTACTTTTTGACTCTCTCCCATATAAAAAGAGCAATCA